GGCATGGGTGGAGGGTCACACAAAGGAAGGTAATGGGGGATGACATCGATAAGGAGGACATTTCAAACACACTGCAGCACAGTCTCTGTTTTCACCTTAAGGTTCAGTATAAAGAAGGGGGAGTTTTAAATCAGCCATGGTGCAGAGCAGCGGCCAAGTTTAGGGTAAGATAGATGACAGCCTGAATGCAAGAACACATCCACATGAGTCAGGCTAGTATCTCTCACTCCTAATGGCCAGTGGTGTAATATAAAGTAAATGCAAGCACAAGCTTGCTTGCCAGTGATGCATAAACTGAATGCCAAAGTCTCATTAATTCACAGATTCGGTAATAATGGAGTAATAAAAAAAACACAGCAACGCGTCTCTTTATTTTATTGTGTGTGTCTTTGGAAAGTTGGAGCCAAAGGCCAGAAAACTGGCCGCTGAGCCTGCAAAGGAAAGAAGCTGGACTGCTTTGCTCACGTAGCCTTAGCTACTATTGTTGCTCTTGACTTATCAGTAAAGGCTGTGCAGATTGTAGATGGATTCATTAAAATGTTTTTTGTCTACATTACGTAAGACATTACCTTCAAATCCTATTGGATGTTGCAATTATAAATGGCTTCTGAATTCGGGTTCTACAGGAACCCGATAATTACTTAAAAGAAATGTTAAAAACAATATGGCAGCTTTTTTGTCGGTAAATAAAAAGGAAAGTATCTTGTTGACAGACGTCGTGGTTCAAAGTTCGAATATGTGTGGACATCTTTTTTGTGTTGGTATGGACACATACGGAAAGAAAGCATAGGCAAATATTCACAATAGTACCACTTGTTCTTCTAGCATTACACCACTGGTCATGGTTGGGGGGAATGGCCCATGCAAAACCAAACATCCAAAGCAGACGCTGGTTATGAAGGTCAAGTCTGTGACATGGATGAATGGATGACCTCATGTTACAAAATGTTATTAGCTTTATAGTTTTAGTCCTAAGTCAACCTTAGCTGGGGAGATTTGGATGGATCAAGATGTGCCACTTTGTTTTTTATATTATCTCTTCACATTTGGGCAGCATTTGACTTTCTGTGAGACTGTGGCAAACAATTGCCGCTCAGCTGTACCTGTGTGCATTAAACCTAAAGCAAATTAGCTATACACAAACCCTTTCACACGTCCGATTCAAATAAATTCAAAGGACAACAAACTCCGATATGTTTTCAGAGATCTTTTATGCTGAAGTGCATTCACATTACTGGGCTGAATGAATTCTTGTGCGTATGGTTGTTTCTTTGAACATAAAACAAAAATTTAAACAGGCTGAAGCTCGACCTTGCGTACGCACTGGACTCCCAATGAGAGATTCAGATAAAATTGAGCATGCAGAGCCCTGCATATAAAAAGGAGCAGCTGTTGATCAAGCAGTACAAAGAACAGCTGTGAGACTGCAAGGGAATAGTGGAATTAAATGCAGATGTTGTAGCTAAAAATAAACCTCGGCAATAGCCCATGCTCCCTGAAGTGAAGAAAAACAACAGCAGCTTGGAAGTAATACCAAAATATCTCAAAACAAAACAGATAAAAATAAAAACTTAAACAAAAGTAATTAGAAGACTTGAAGGGGGGGCTGACTCAGATGATACTAAGGTTAGATTTATATGTGATCCAAACCTCCCACTGCTATATGGCTGTTGCCCAGCAAGGACATGAAAAATTAAAAAAACAATTACAGCATATGAAAACTCCCAAAAACCAACCAAACTACCAAACAGGTTTTTTCATGTGCCATGCACTGGCAGCAGTTGCCTTTTAACAACTCCAGTAAAGAGCAGAAAAACATTAATCCAGCTGGAAAAGGCACCATGCAAAGACTGTATGGGCTGCATCCCCACCAAACTAGGCCACACATTTCAATTCAGGTCAGTCTTGGAGCCTGAACTGTGAGACCTACTAAACCTGGTAGCAGAAGGGAAGACAGATGCTGACAGAAAGAATGAAAATCAGAGAAAATGTGAAACAAAGATAGAGGTATAAGTAGCTCAGATATCGTGATACAAACAGAGAGAGACTGCAAACAAATCAGAAAACAATGAATGGTGTATAAAATGAGGCAGGATAGTAAATTATGGAGTATGGTCATTAATGATTTAGGAAAAAACTGAATCTGCAAGCTTCATTTTTTTCATAAATAGTGACTTACTCAACTTCAAAAGCTGAAACTGTGATGAATTTTAGATTGCATGCATATAATAGTTTCTTCAACATTTGTATTTTGGATGTAAAAAGTCAGTAATCTATCCCGATTAATAATAAAGCTCAACTACAGTGACTATGACCCACAGAAGAAGAATTTTGAATGAGTAGCTATGTGTGTGATGATAGCTCTCTAAAGAACAAACACTCACTGGCCACTTTGTTAGGTATACCTGTTCAAATGCTTGTTGGTGCAAATATCAAACAGACAAAGTTAAGACGATCTGCTAAAGTTCAACCCAAGCGTCAGAATGTTGAAGCAAAGGTGATTTAAGTGACTTTGAATGTGAGAAGATTGTTGGTGCCAGACAGGCTGGTCAGACTGTTCCAAAAAAACTGCTGATCTGCTGGGAGTTTTCCCAGACAACCATCTCCAGGGTTTATAGAAAACAGTTTTAAAAAGAGAAAATCCAGTGAGCGGCAGTTCTCTGGGTGAAAATGCCTTATTGATGCCAGAGGTCAGAGGGGAATGGCTACGCTCCTTCGAGCTGATACAGTAGCAGCAGTATAACCTCTCGTTACAAGCAAGTTATTCAGAAAAACAACAGATTCCCCTACAACAGTAGAAGACTGCACTGGGTGCCAACTCCTGTCAGTTAAACAGGAGGTTGAGGTTATAATTTGCGAGGTCGTTTTTTAAAATTGGAAAAACGTTGCCTGGTCTGTGAGTTTTGATTGTGAGATTTGGATGGTAGGGTAACAATTTGGTCTAAACAACATAAAAACATGGATTCGTCCTTCCTTGTATCAAAAGCTGCTGATGGTGGGGGGATGTATTCTGAGTAAAGCCTTTAGTACCAACTGAGGATCATTCAAACACTACAGTGTACCTGAATATTGTTGCTCACTGTGTCTATCCCTTTATGAGCACAGTGCACTCACCTTATCATGGCTGCTTCCAGCAGGATGCCAATGCCACAAAACTCAAATCATGTCTATATCTATCATGTCAATATGTACAAAATCTCTGAGGAAAGTTTACATAACTATATGTGCCACAAAGAATTAAGATGCTCTTAGAGACAAAACAGGGTTCAGCTCAGCACTTTCAAAGTGAGCCTAACAAAGTAGCTGATGAGTGTAATTGTCTGCTTTGACTGGTGGGAAATGATTACAGCATTGTCCTACTACTTGATGGCTTAATTTTGTGTATTATTTTATAAAAATGTTCTGTCAGTACTTTTAAATCTATAGCAAAGCACAGATTTTAGTTTGTGTTTATGACTTGTGGGCTGTTTTCGGGCACATTCGTTTAAAGATTGGGCCATTTTATAAGTAATTTCGATTTTTCGGGTGAAATCTTTTTCACAGCGTGCACTTGACAGTTAAAGGAAAATACGACAATGGCAATCAACGCTTCCTTTCATAAAGAAGAAAAGGGCAGGCGAACAGTGAAAGGGAGGGTGACAATGGAAGAAAAACAGGATGAAACAAAAAAAAGAAACACAGACAGAGTGTAAGAATTTTAAACTGTTAGCTAATTCAAGTGGGGAGGCAGCCCAAGTTAAAAAGTGCACTCTACACACAACACAGCAACAGAGCAAAGGCCGACCGTGACCACCTGTGTATTTGGGAATAAATGGACAAAACTCTGTTTTCTCTGGGTCTGACTGAAGTCTGTTCTCACATCATTGGACATAAAGATCGAGGAGTTGAAGTTACCTCATAACATGTAATGAGACTTGGAAGAGCTGGATATCCAAGGAGAAATGCAGTGAGGATGCCTCTGCATGTCATATGGACTCATTAGCTACTTTTGATCTTGTGCTGCCTGGGCTTCAACATTTTTTGAAGCGAGTGCAGTGTTTTAAAAAGGTGCTCTGTGCATAGAAATTCATTCCTCCACGAAGAGAGGATTTATTGGCGATGACATTATTGAAGAAAACAAAAGTGTGGCACTGACAGAGAACTAGAAACAAAGAGCGTAGGCTGGGGGTAAAATGAAAATAGATTTCAAATGACCCAGCTTTCAATCACTTGTGTATTTCTACTGACATCGAACTTTTGGTGCACACATGCCATGTTCAGTCTTTGGTTTATCATTTAAAAACCCATTTTGGCCTACAAGGACAAAGCCTGTGCTTATTAACTATTGTAGAACCATGTTAGATTAGTTGCACTGGACATTTTAAGGTCATCTACTATAGTAAACTTTGTGGGCAAGTTAGTTTAGTTCCTTAAATGTAAATCTCATTTAAAAAAATCCCCAACTCCCCAAAAGTAGCTCTTCAAAATACACCATTAGAGCAAGTCTTTGTGTAATATTATATAATACCTGGATTATAAACCTTACAGTTACAGTACTGTGCAAACGTTTAGCACCAGGTTCACTTTTTCTTTAAAATTTCCCCCAAAAATGAGAAATGGGTGACTTACTGAAACATATGCAAATATTTTCACAATAGAAAATAACACATTTCCAATGGGAATGCAAATTAGAGTTTGTGCTCATTTCAAACACTCTGTATAGGCCACACCACTACGTGTCCCTCGGCTTATAATAGAGTCTTTGCTTTACGCATCAATGGGGTTTGCATCGTGCATCTCCTTTTGGTTACCAGATATGAAAACAGTAAAAACAATACACCTCTGCCATGCGACAGACAGAGATAGATTATTCATGACCGACCCTGCAGCCAGCAAGCTTTGAATAAGCACCTAGCAAAAGTCAAAGATCCAAATAATAGATTTTCTGGTCACGGTAGAAGCCTATGTGCACTGTGGCTGGTGTGTGTGGATGCTCGGGGTAGGTATGATGGGAATAGTACCTGGGACAGTTGTGGGCTCTGTATCTGTTTTGAAGGTGAGGATGCCGGGCTTAGATTTGCCCTGCTCGTTCTCTGCCACCACGTGAACCTCATACTCCGTGTTCCATTCCAGGCTGTTCAGGACGATATAGGTACTGTCACTGGGAAGGCGGAGCTCTGGTTTCCAGTCAGATACACGCTTCTGAGAAATGGATTTAGAAAGAAACAATTCAACACTCTCAAAGGAAAAGCTAATTTTAGATCATCTACGAATGTCTCGATTTCTCAAACTGTTCTTGAGATGACATAAAAGCAGTACATGTTCTTTCTCAACATGTTTTTTTAGTTCCAAAGAGATTAACCTGGTCTGAAACTGTTAATAATGAGGGAAAAAACAAGAAAATAATTAAATGTATAAAGTACTCACCAATTATTATACACAAATTGTACACAAGTAGATCTTATGAGAATAAATGAAAGTGGTGTTTAAGCATTTATCTTTTCCATCAGGTTAGTAATGAATCTTTTTGAATACATAGTTATAATTCAGTGGACAAGTGCTGCATGAGAACATAACTTCATATTACCGCCACTGCAGGAAAACTAGTCTGCTGTAAGGGTTGGTTGGTCTAATTACAGTCACCCTTTCTTCCTAGTGACAACTGTTAATTCCAAAGAGGTAGAAGATACAAATTGAAAGGGGGAAATGACTTGGATGATGATGATTAAAATGCTTTGGAGTCATTAGCAGGCACATATTTTGACAGATTCCAGTAGATTTACCACTGCTCAAAGCCCTAGCCAGATTTGACTACTTTATTGTAACTGATATTATTTTTTTTATGTTGTTTTTGTTTTTATATCAAATGCTTGAAGCATACAAAAAGTTAACCCCATTGCCAGAAATACTCACAGCCTTGTATCGGATCAGGTAATGTTTAATCTTGGAACCACCGTTATCTTGTGTGATCCAGTTGATCTTAAGAGAATTGCCCAGGCTGTGCACCTTGGCCTGCAGTTTGGGAGCACTGGGTTCCCCTAAACAGGAAACCAAGGAATGATGATTAGATGACAAACGGTGGTTACTGCATCAACACATGTTTACCTTTAAACACCAACTACCTACATTAATTAACATGTCTGAAATTTTTTATCTTAAAAGAAAAGAAAACTGCGCTACGATAGACACATTTTTTTCACCAGTGTCTACCAGGAGCAGGTCAATAACATTAATACTTTTCAAGCCTTCACCTCAAATAATAACTTGGTTAGTAAGTTTTAGTTAATGTTAATTTCTCAACAACCAAAATCTTTCATTAACTTTCCTTGAACTATTTGTTTAACCCAAGCCATTCGTTTTTGTCCCTAAACTTAAACTTTAACCACAGCAGTGCCAGATCAGGGGCACACAATGAAGGTGTATGTGATGGTGTGTTGTAACAATTTTGGAACACCCATCAAAAGATTTCCAAAATAGTACATCTACGTGTTAAGTTTGGAGGACCCACTAAAAGAAATATAACCTCCATGAGAAGAGTATCTGATAATTAAAGACAGACTTTAGGTGGAATATTACTTCCAGGACGACTAGAAGCAACAGAGGTCAACGTGGCTGCCTCAGAACCACAGGCGGAGGTGTTGTTCTCCTTGAGGCCCTCATTATCTGCTCTGTCCTCCTGAGTAATGACTGCTGGGTCGCTGGATAATGAGCCTGTAGGCCTTGATTGGACATGTTCCTCTATTACTTTTAATAACATTTACATAGTCTTGTGGGAAAGGAGGTCAATGTGTTTTTTGCGTGTGTGTGTGTGCGCTGTAGCTCTTCGTGGCACTGTTAAGGCTATAGGGGTGGAGACTAACAACCCAAACTCATCAATTATGTGCATATTGGTTACACACAGTTAGCCTTGTTAATATGTTATTAAATCCCCTACCTTGTGATGCTATAATCTTTGCCCTGTGCTAACAATCTTAAAAGTAACAGCCACACCAGCAGGTAACAGAAAGGCTGAGTGGTGCTGCAATTTCTACATGCATGCTACTGATAGAAATTCAATAAGGAGGTAAACCAAAAAATATCTCTCTGTCTATATATATATATATATATATATATATATATATATACACACACACACACACTTATCCATTTTGTGATAGTCACAAGAAAAAGTCACGTATTCGGTATTTAACATTTCAAACATCAGTGTTAGTGGTTGTAGTTAATTAAATGAATATGCATGAAGGCACTTTTTCTTGAAGTAATCAAATAAGCACACTTTCTAAAAAACTGCATCCCACCAGGCAGAAGTGAGCATGACACAGGCTGAAAGTGAATCAGACAGTATTAGTTACAGCAGTAGTAACTCTGTGACAGGCAGACATTGATACATTCAGCATCATTCTGGGTTAGGTGAATATTTCTGAAGGCTAAAACAGAGAAAGTGGAAGATTAGAATGAAAAAAACTACACATGCAAAGCTTGGAATTTGGCCCACTGCTGTAAATTCAGAAGGGTATCGTGTGAAACACCACCCATGGCCTCGCTCTAACATGCATGTGGATGGCGTGGTTCCACATGCAGCCCAAGCTAATCACAACGACAGTATACAACAAAGTTATTAAAAACATTCTGTAGAATAAAGAAATTCGTTTAAGTTTTACGAGTTCATAGATCATAGCTGAAAATCATCTCATAAGTGCTGTATGTGAGCGATTATTAACAGTATGAATTATACAAAAGAAAGGTGAATTTTGAAAATAGTAAATGTCTCAAAGTTGGAGTCTTTGTTCAGGTCAAATGAAAAAAAAAAGATATATGTTTTTAACATTGCCCAATCGTCTCAATGACTTGCCAATACTAAAAAGATGTACCCAATGTTAGCACTTCTGCATATGCAAACTACTAGAAAGACATGACATCAAAGATACAGAGACATGCAGGTAGGACAGACATTTTCTTTAAGAACAGCTGAACAACAAGAAAGAGGATGCAACAAGAAAAAGGAAATAAACTTGCATGCTGCAGTAATGCAAAGGATTGTTGTGAGTCCAACCGGTAAAACAGTGTGAGCTATGTAGCTCTCCAGGGGAAGAATATGAAACATTAGCCTTGTGGGTGACTATATTTAACAATGCATGCAATGCAAATTGTGGTTAGTGGCACTTTGTGGGGCTGCTCT